CTTAGTAAAAATTTAGCGAAACTAAAGGTTTTACTGTTTTGCCAAATCCAAAATGAGTTTAGACAAGCAACCTTAGGTGTAACTGATTTTTGTAAAAAGGGACATTTCATAACAAGATGATCTGGATTGCCACATTTGTGACAGCTTCTAGCATCAGGAGAACACCACATTAGTTGATTATTACCAAAAGCAAAGTTTTGTTGAGTTGCCTGATTGAGAGCTTCTTCATTTTTAAAGTGTAAAATAACAAAAGAACGAAGTTTATAGTTGTTGGATCTAGGAATGTAACTTGCTCTAGCTTTGGTTGCAAGAATTATATCATGAAGATCTCTTGCAGAGGTATCAAAAGGAAGATTCGTTAATTTGATACGGTGTGTATTCCTATATTTAATTTCTTCTGGAGACAAAGTGCAAGGATTGATACGGACAGAATCATTCTGGACAAAATGACTCCACACTTGATAAAATAGTTCAATACATTTAGGGTTTTCGTAGGTAATGTAGGCATGTTATCACATATCTCTTACTGTCATTTTAAAATTAGTAACAAATCCATATTTGGCGAAAACTTGTTTGATATTGGCAGGCTTTATTTGTAGAGAAATAGTAGTAACATGAATAGTTCTTTCATTGAATTGCATATCAGCTTTGTATTGAGAGAAATCACAGAAGTATCGATCTTAAGATTAGGAATAGTCACGTATAAGGCTGTGGCAGCCGCATCTGATGTCGCAAAATAGACAATTACAGAATGCGTCAAATTGACGTGATGAACAGAAACTCCTCGAAAATTATCATTTTGAGCAAAAATATTATTGAAAGTGAGAATAATTTTGTTGTATTCTTTTTTTCGAGTGTAAACTTGATATGACTAGCAATTGCAAAGAGAGTAGTTTTGGTAACAACTGTGAAATTTTTTAAGCCTTCTTCCATATTATCGTCTTCGAGATATTCATCAGAGTCCAAAAGTTTTGACTTATCTTTGGTTGAAGAAGTGTTTTCAGGGACATTATCAACATTGTTGTTATTATTATTGTTATTATTCAAAGGCGGAATAACTGGTGAAATTTTGTTGGGAGTGGCAATTTTAGATACGTCAAAAAATTCAAAATCCATTGTTTTTTCTGGTAGCGAACCAATAAGTTGGTGGAAACAGAAGTTGAGGTTGAAGAAGACGAAGGAGCTGGTGTAGAAATAACAGCTACCTTTGGAGCTTTTGGAATGACATATAGAATAAACTTGGGGTCACTAATTTTTTGTTATTTTGCAACATTTTTACGCGTCATAACTCTCTCGCGTAGTGAAGAAGGTGGGATAAAACAAAAGAAATCTTCTTTATACTGGGTTTATTAATTAATTTTTTGTTAAAAACGAACTTTTGAATTTTATTTTTCTTGTGAAAATTTTGGTTTTGTAAAATAGGGGTGAGAGTTTTTTTTTTATATATATATATTGAATATGCATATATATATTATATAACGCAGATAAATTGTTTATAACACAAATTTCCTAATTTGAAACATTTATTAATTAATCTATGTTTATCTGTATAACACATATTTCAATTAAGCGAAAAAGTTAGTAAATTTAGTATGATCACTACTCAATTTTTTACTCAATAACATCTCTTCATTAAATAATATGTTGCAATATATCTATTTTTTGCTAATCATTTTGATCATTTAGTATTTTATATTTTTATACTACATCAACACTTTGATGATCTGTAATAGTAATATTCATAATAACTTGTTTTTTCACATTTACATTTTATATTAGTTGCGCAGATGTCTTTTGCTTAGAATGATTAGTCAATAAACTATCAACTTTAATACCAGTTTTATTAGCAAGATCTTTCATAAATCCAGATAAATTATTTACACCAATATGTTGTTTGTGATACCAGATTCCAGTTTTCTTCCCTATAAATTAAAAATTTGTAAATACTTAAAAAATAAATATAAAATTATAAAATAAACTTACATTTTGAATTGTTCTGTAAATAGCAATCTGATTCTGCATCTAATGATCTTTTTAAAAAATATAATTGATAATCATAGCAAGGTCTTCTAGTATTAGGTAGATAAATCAATTAAAATAGGAACCTTTTGTACTGTATTACCCATTATTCCTTGTTGATTGTTTTTTGCATAAAATTTTTGAAAATTAATTTCATCATCTTTGTGAAAATTATATTGAATAATTTTTAATTATTAATACTTACTACTCTGACAAGCTAATAGATATACATTGTAAAAAAATACTTTCTTAATAAGGTATCTGGAGTTAATCAATGAATGTTACTCATTGGATTCCTCTAGTCGCGAGGAATCGAATGGTAGTTGTTTCATACGAATCGGTGCGATATTGACCGAGATCGTACATCTTTTATTTTTGTTTTTTCTATATATAAAAAATCATGTAATATGACGTAATTTCGACCATTTCGACTTTTCATTTCGACTTTGACCTCCAAAGTCAAAACATTTCGACTTTTACATTTTCATTTCAACTTCATATATAGTACTTACAATTTCTATTATGTCTTTAACTATAATTAAACTGTAAATATTAATTTTATGCTTATTATAAATAAAGGAATTAACAAATAACTAATTTTTTTTAAATTAAAAATAAAGATTTAATGAGAATAAAAAAAGATCTAATAATTTATATAATATACTTAAAAATATTTTTTTAACAAAGTTACAAAAAGCAGCATTAGAAAGGAATGAAATTATATGTGTATATTATTTAGCTATAATTGATGAATTTTATATTCAAAATCAATTCATTTTTTTGATAAAAGTGCCAAAGATAAAAGGAATCTATTGCATCTACAGTGGCGCTCAAAAGTATTGCATCACCCGAATACAAAATTTTAAATAGCATTATCTTATGATTAAGAAGGCGCAGCGGTATCAAAATTATTTATTAGACTCATCATAACGAGTCTATTCAATGGTATAAAAATTGTTATATAGTAATGTGATAAAAAAATTTTAAATATTTGATTTTGATCATTTATGCGATCCTTTTCTTTTGATCGATTTTTTATTAAAATATTTATGTAAATAAAAAAAAATAAAAATTAATCCAATTATATTAAAACTTTGGTAAATAATTTTCTACCCTTTCGTATAGCCGCCATTAGCCTTTATTACATTATTTATACGAGTTAGCATAGTATCAACCAACTTTTTGCATACATCGGATCCCAATTCAACCCAAATTTTTTTAATTGTATCCCACAACTGATCCTGTATTCTAAAAGGTATTTTAAGCTGCCTCAGATGACGGTCCATTTCATTCCAAAGGTGTTCTATTGGGTTTAAGTCAGGGGCCTGTGCTGGCCAATCAAGAACTTTAACCCTATTATCCTCAAACCATTGCTTAGTAAGATTTGCAATGTGTTTAGGATCATTATCTTGTTGAAAGATAATATTATCTTTATCCATTCTATGCCACTCGATGGTTTCTAAAAGGTCTTCCTTCAAAATTTGACAATACAAATCACCATTCATATGTCCATAAATTCAGCATATATTACCAATCTCACCAGAAGTAAAACATCCCCACACCATAATATTACCCCACCCAAATTTGACTGTTGGTTTAACATGATGATTGTGTAATGGTTTATTTGGTTTTTTCCAACAATATTCTCTACCATCTGACCCATATATCATAAATTTTGACTCATCTGACCAGATAACTT